TTAAAACAAACAAACAAAAAGTTAGAAGAGGCTGGCAAGGACACAAACAGAATGCCAGAAAATACCATCTGGCCACCTCATTTCATTGCAAAAATCAGTTTCCTCCCAAGGGAACACGAAACCATCCAAACAGAAGCTGCAGTAAAATCCCCACTGATGGGAAACAACTGCTTTCCACTGTGCATACATTAGTAACTTCTGAGCTTCTGCTGCTGCTTAGATGCATGTGTCCTCATTAAAAAAAAAGAATTATGACCCTTAACCTAATTTACACAAGAATGTAGGTCAAATTGCCTCACTTAACGTGTATCTACTTATTGCACACCTTCTTCTGACAGAACTATCTGTTATCAGGGAAACACAAAGGAGAGCTACTAAAGGAAAGGCAGCAGATGGTGACAAGACAGTAAAGGTTGTAATGAGATCTCTCAAAGTAGACAAAGAGAGGCTATCTCAAGTCTAAGACTGCATTTTTTCAGCCTCTTTTCCTAGCATTGGCATGTAAAAGATTTCAACAAATTCTAGGAGTAAAGAATAAAAAATCCAAATATATGCAAAAACGTAAAGAGCATTAAAAATGTGGGGTTTGGTATGGAGTTTGGTTGGTTTGATTTTTTTTTTTTGTTCAGTTTTGTTTTGGGTGGTTGCTGGGTTTTTCTTTGAGTATTGCAAGCATCTGTCCATCAGCCATCTCTGGTGACAGTTCTTGCCAAGACAGCATGCTGCTACACTGCTGATGCAGCACCCAGTGCCTGTCAGATTTCTTTCATGACTGCAGTAAAGTGTCTCTTCCCATCTAAGTACAACATGGACTCTGAAATAAAGCCAAGAAAAGAGAGAACCACATTAGTAACTTAGTATCAATACAACTACACAGATTGGCAAAAGTAAGAAGCAATCCACATTGTCATCAAAGCATAAAATATATGTTGTCTGCCAAGAAATCCTGTTAAAATTATTCTAGTTCATCTATTAAAATGATCAGTGTTCCAAGAGAAAGAAATTAATATTTTCTACAGAGTTATGATGACAACATACTAATGGGATACTTGCCTCCATATGTCTTAGGTACAACTTGTGGGACCTCATTTTCTGATACAAATGTAAAATGGAAAACATTGGTAGTATGGTTCTCCCTGGTATTGGCATTGTAAACTTCAGTGTGTACTCGAATCTGGATGTAGTTTTTTTCTGTGTAACAGACCTACAAGGTTAAAACAAGAGTTAGAGGTTGTAATTTATCACCAGTGCTGAAAACTGTAACAAGCTTCATTATAGTGTTTAACAAGAAAAGGCACACTGTCTCCTAAGACACTGCTCATTATCAGTGACTAACAGCAACAACAGCAAAGACAATGTTTGCTTCTTTTCAAAAGGAAACCAATTCCTACCTGTCCAGAAAGCAGTAATAAGGATCCAACTTCAACTGGCTTCTGAAACATGATATCATCAACAGATACGATAAAGGGTCTGGAACCCCTGGGAAGGAAAAGAGAAATTTCTTCTCAATAATAAAAAGGATGTTTGGAGAAATTTAAAATATCTACTTGTCAGCATTTTAATGAAGGGTTACTAGAGAATAAATCTCTTCCTTAAATGGAGGCTACAGGAAGTGTTAAGAAGTTCTGTCATCACTGTAGTAAATCTCTCACATCAACAAAGTACAAACTTTCTAAAAACACATTATTGCACCATTGTTGTATCTTATGACTTATACTTGCTTGACAATCTTCATGCCATCATTGCTCAGGCCTCAGTTTTTCAAGCACTGACACAAAACCACTCAACTTTATATCAGGCTATGCATACCCCATTAAACTTACACAATAGACCTTGATGGCTGATGACTCAAGTCACACTTCCTAAGCTCAAATAGTTAATAAAAGTTCAGAACCCATTCCTCTTGTGTACTAAATGCAAAGATGTAATGTTTATTTGATAGAATGAGTATGTTATATGGTTAAAAAGTCCATCTCAATAGCTTGGTTAAGATAAAAGAAAACAGAAAATAGATGTGTATTCTGACATATGATGCTTAAAACCAAGCTCCAAGGAACAAGATGCCAATCTCYTTGTAAATATGACAGATGCTCCAAGCAAAGCAGCACTGTGCACTAATAGTGAAAGATTCTAACAGACATTTAAGTTTTTCAGCTCAGAGTGTCATTAGGTTGCTTAGCTCAAGTTCCCAACCTCTGTGTATGTGCACAATGCTGTGGATTATATAAATATTGCACATCTACAACTTACCCATAGCTGCAAGCAATTGCCCATCCCAGTTCAAATGCTTTTCTCATGAGAAAACCCCCAAAGATCCTATTGAAGATGTTCCGTTCCTGTACACAGAAACAAATACCAAATTCAAAGCCTTGTGTTGAAGTCTGCACTTCAGTTCACAGTATTTAACAGAAGTCCCAACACCTGAATATATAAAAAGCACTACTGAAATATGTATGTAAAATTCAAAATGCCTGAGGCAACTTTACTTAATAGGAGCTCATCTGACTAATTTGACAGCATAAGATAACAACTCAAAATTGTATCAGCAACCAAAGGCCAAACTTCTTGCAAACACTTTGCAAAGAACTTTCTTTACACAGAATGAATAGTCTGGTAAGAAAACTAGGTCATTTAAAATCATCCATTTTGTGGTGGTAATCCATACAAATAACCAAAAAATTGCAGAAGAAAGTAGGCTCTAAATGCATTGCAAGGACTGCAGAAGCCAAAGAAAATAATGGTTTGACTAATCTTAGATGAAAATTCATAGAGCCATAGARTGGTTYGGRTTRGAAGGGATYTTAAAGACATCTGGTTCCATCCTCCCTGCCATAAGCAGGGACACCTTGCACTAGACCAGGTTGCTCAGAGTCCCAYTCAGTCTGGCTTTGAATGTTTTCAGGGATGAGGCATCCACAAATKGTTCCAGAGCCYCACTACAATCACAGKAAAACATTTCTTSCTAATATCTATTCTAAACTCTCCTCTTTCAGWTTGAAGCCACTACCCTTTGTCCTGTCRCTACATGTCCTTGCAAAAATTCCCTCTCACAGTTATTTCTTAAGTAACTTTCTGTAATTCATTAATATTTTTCAAAATACCTCAGGATGGCAAATCTGCAGGCCTTTTAGCTTTGCATCTTCCATCCACACTGAGTTGGGTGGTAATTTACGACTCTGGAAACTCACTGTCCTTTGGAAGAGAAAATGAACTTTATAGTCCACAGAATGAGCAGAATTCAGCAAGCCAAAAAAGCATAAATAGCAAATGTAGATATGCACTAAAAAAACCCACAAAAACATAGAACACCAAAATGAAACCCAAAACAGAAATGGTATCACTAAACACTGTTTCAACTGACCTTGAAACCTTATCTACAGCTGTCCTTTGATTTGTAGCTGCAATAAACCTATGCTCCTGATCTTTCACAAACTTCTGCTAAAGTTCAAGTTTATGTGAATGAAGAGGCTTGAGAAAGGTACATGAAAGGAAAGTTAAATCAACCACAAAGTGAACACTTTGTCAAAAAAGCCTTGCTCTATTTTTTAAGTCATAATAGGAAATAAAAGCACACAGTGAGCTAATGGAATAATTCTGGATTAAACATGCATCCAGTTTGAAGTTTTCAAACACAGATGGAATGTGTATGAAGTACAACTGCTAATGTTAAGGGAAAGCATGTCTGCCTTTGGTAAACAGCTTTAAAAATAACAATTTTATAGGCTAATAAGGTGAAGAAATGATAAACTATCACAAATACAGCATTGTACTAATGTAAGTAGACAAAGATACTGTTCTATCATTGTTGGCATCAGATGACTTGACACTAATCTCAAGTATAAGAGAAGTATACTAATAACTTCCTCAATGTTGTCAGGTACTGTATCTAAGACACACTGCAAGGTTATTTGGCCAAAAGATCCCAGTTCCTGCCCTCAAAGGTTTTTTAATTAGACATCATGGCAGATAACTCAGATTGTACAACTCATGATTGGAAAACTATTCCATTCCCTTAGTTGGTTAAACATCATTAACCTTCTTCCTCAAAATTATTCCTAACAGTTTGTTTAGAAGACTCTTCTAAGAGCTGCAGATGTCACATTAAAGTTTGTACTTGCATTTCAAATAAACTGCTACAGAATTTAAATGTGTGCATTTATTCCAGACTACCCTCTAACAAGCAATCACTCCAAAGGCACTTTCCTCTTTCACAAGTTATGAGTTCTCCTTCCCCCCTCCCCTTCTTGCCTTGTGTCCAATGTATTAAGGAATATGTCATGCACAATGTTTCTTTCTTCTGCAGTAGGAGCCATTTTCAGTAAGGAAGCAGTGTTGAAATCAATCCTCTTCAACTTGTTCACTGAATATTTTAAAAAATATTAGAGTATTAGAGTAATGCATAGTATTTAGAGTCCAAAGAAAAAACATAATGGCTCTAAAGATCTTAACCTGGAATCAACTGGTTTTCCATTTTACCTTTTCCCCCTGTAAATTAAAGCTGTAACTTCATGGTCCTATAGATCCAAACAGAAATACAGCTTTTAGAATTGACTTTATCAAAATAAAGCAGAAGTTCTAGTACCTCACCAATGCAATAAAGAACTTCTATACATATTTTATGACACCCTTACACTGTTCTGACAGAAAACTTGAATACTCCTCTCAAAGTACAGAACATATCTAACAAGAAACCCCACAGAACCATCAGCTTCAGGTTTTGCCAATGGCACAAGAATTAAGTTTATTACAGTACTCATTACCATAGGCTGCAGTGACTAAATTTTTAGCTTAAAAGATCTTCTGTCCAGTTTATTCAGTCTTTGAGGTTTCTCTAATTCTCTGCTTCAAAACTCCATTTTGAAACAAATGAGAGTGGAGCTACATGCCCCTTCCCCTGCTTCTCCCCCTTTTCCTCTCCTGAGTTTCTTTCCAAAAGGAACATGGGCATGCAGACAGGTAAGAAGCTGTGATGCCTTGCAGGCCCACCATGGGGTAACAATTGGCCAGAGCACCAGGAGCCCCTGTTTCACTCAGATGTGAAGCAGAGGGAGTGTCCTGCCAAGGGAGAAGTCCAGAGGGTGTGCACAGCACATCAGGAGTGCCCCTGTCTGTCAGTTTAGTTTCCAAACATGTGGCAGCAAGTTTTTAAGCTCTCTTACACTACTGACACAAATGAGACAGAATAAAAATCTGATTTTACACTAATTAGAAGCATTTCTAAGTAGCAGAACTCCTGAGCTTTACTTGCTCTCAGCTATTAAGTTAAAACTGAGGCAGAAGTGCATACTACCAGGAAATATGACATACATTCCCCTTGCTTGAAGATTTCTTCCTCCTCAGGACTCTCAGGAATGAGTGGATTAACAAATGCTGGCCTATGAACAGGAAGGTTTTTTAAGTTACAAACTTTACAAGAATTTGTCCTGTAAATAGATTATAACAATCTTCCATTTCTGCTTATATACATAGTACAAGATGAAAAGACAGGTTACATGATAGAAATAAATACAGCTGCCAACAGAATATCACATTAGCTTTAACTCTGAAGAGGCTATCAAATGATCCAACCACCACCTTGTGCAATTAGAAAAGAGAAAAGTGACACATTTAAGGTTCTAAGGAAGCTGAAATTGTACCCATAAATTATAATGAAGATTGTTCAAGAAGAAAGCTGTTCAGAAAGTCAGCAAATGAAAACATGATGATCTAGGATAGTCTCAAGCAAAACTTCACTGGTACCATTCCTCCTGGAATAGAAGCAGCAYGGTGCCTTAGCTAGCAAGTCTTTTTATAATCTCCATGTTCCCATGACAGCCTTATCAACAGCCAAAAGCTGTTTACCACGTGCACCACTTATCAAACAAGATCATGACATGCCTTGAGCACAAATTTCTATGTTCATTTTGCTGCACAAATAAGTTCACTTTAACCTGATTTTATAACATTTAATTATTTTCACAAGTGAAGACAAACGTTAATTTTCGAGAGGCATTCTTCTCCATAATTTCTAATTATTATTTTCCTATTTTCAACAGTTATACAAATGCTAAGAGCAACATACATATACATACATATACATACATATACATACATATACATACATGGACACATAGACCTGCTGAACTATTCACCTCTACCCCAAGCCCTACTTTGGGCTGGCAAAAAGAGGCAGAGGGGAAGTTTTCTCTTAGAACAAACTGCTCTTTCCTGGTTTGCTAAACCTCTGGATTTTGAAGATCCAGCAGCTCCTTCTCCATCACAGAGTTCATGTCACCTCTCCTCAGCTCAGAACACATCTACATCAGCTCTCTTGACCAAGCCCCAAGCTGCTGAGATGCAGGTTTTGCTATGGTGCCAAAACCACACCATATTTCTGTGGCACTACAGCCAASCTAACACATYYCATACCTCTCTGAAGGGTTTTGACYTCAAATACCCYTCTTATATGGACAGAATGCTTCCAAAACACAGCTGGCCTGTGGCCAGCTAGCTTGTACAACATCCAACTTGCATCTATCTGCACTAGCCCAAGTAGGCTTGTCCTCAGACAATCTGCTACTGTATAATTACATCAGATTTGATGTAATTATTTTGAAAAMTTAGTCCTTAAAATAGGGAACATARTATAATTTGTTTTCTTAAAGTATAATATATTCACTGGTTCTAGAAAAAATCTGAAGAAAACCAAACAAAAACTACTTCTAATGTTACCGGGACCATATAATTTTATCAAGTAAAACGCCTTCATTAAACACATCCTTCTTTGTTAAATACAAGCAATTATTTAAACTAATTAAAACCAGGTAATTGTTTATTACTTTGGCAGGCTATACAGGAAAGAGGGAAGAATTACAGCCAATTATTCTGATGCTGGAGTCATAAACCTAAACTGCAACTGAGCAGCCTTTTATTCTAATGACTAAGGAATTACAGAGAAAGTAAAACCAGAAAAATAACAGAGTAAGTATCTGGGGATTTTTTAAAGTTCTCTGGGAATAGTTACCAGTTCCATCTTAGTTAAACAAGCAAGTTTTAATCTGAATTATTCTGAAGACACCTATTAAGCATCTATTAGGGAATTAATTTATCGTTCACTCAAAGACTACTTAACCACTGAAACTTAATTTTTAATTCAAACAGCTACAAGAATGCAGGTGGGTTTCTGGCAGACTCAATCACTTCTGTGTTCATTCAAACCAGTCACTCAAACACAGGGAAAAATCTGTTTCATTAAAGGGTCAGATCCCAAGACTACCAGCAATTCCTGATATCATGACTGCTGAAATTAATACTCTGAAGCTTGTCACAGTAAAGTTAACACTTTCCAGCAGAAAGCATCAACTATGTGGTTTGTTTATTACCTGTATTCTATAGTTTCTACACATAGAGAGCAAGCTGCCATGTTTGCCATTTTCAGCACAGCAGAAGTCAGGAAAGTGTTCCTGTCCTACAAATTACCGTTTATTCTCTGGGTCCCGGGCCACCATGACAAAGGTTGCATCTAACACAGGGCTGTAATCACCATCATGGAGCTAAAAAAGACAGRAAAAAAATGTATTACTGAACTCTAAAATTGTAAATGTGCTTAGCAAGCTATTTAGTTGACATAAACTATTCAATCACAATGTTAATTCTGCTTACTTTCACATTCTCTCATTCCTTCCAACGTCTCTCACAATAGGTCAAAGATAAGGAAATAATTAAAACTTTAGTTTCAGGAATTCTGCAATGTAAACATTTACCAGGGAATGTTTMTTAAAAACTTTCAGCTGGGAGGGGAGGAAATCAACAGGTATTGTAAAAGGACCCACTTAACCTTCATTCTGAGAAATGCCATAGCATTTTCTTTCATCAATGACAAACTGTTACTAATACCAGTACTGTAAGGAGTTCTGACAAAAAAGGTGTAACATTATCTTTCCTATCAGAGACTTTACTTAAGGAGAACAATTGAAAAAAAGAAATTTACCTGTTTACCTGAATTATCACAGAATCATAGAATTACAGAATTATTTGGGTTAGAAGGAATCTTAAAGACATCCAGTTCCAATCCTTCTGCCACAGGCAGGGACACCTTCCACAATCAGGTGGCTCAAAGCCCCATCTAACACAGCCTTGAACACTTCAAGGGATGAGGCATCTGCTTCTCTGGGCAACCTGTTCCAGTACTTCACTGTCCTCTCAGTAAATAGTTTCTTCCCATTATCTCATCTAAATGCACTCTCACTCAGTTTGAAGCCATTCTCCCCTGCCCTGTCACTATGTGCTCTTGTAAATTCCCCTGAAGCAACTCACACCTGTCATAAGATGGAGAGAAATCACAGAACTAACCTGAAGCATGTGCATCTTCACTTCCATGGAGGTCTTCCCAACCCAAGAAACATTGCCTGTGAATTTGATGTCACAGTCTGGATGTATAATCTTCTGGCACAAATCTACAAAACAAACGTTAGGGGCTACTGGAGGTCACTCACAACTGATAACTAGAAAAACCAGATTCTCTAGGACTTTTATGTGATCTGAAAGTGGCAACACATGGAAAGACAACCCAGAAGAGACAGCTGTTGTAAGGGATCTCACTGCTTGTCTGCAGTTTCTGCCTCTGCAGATTTCTGAAGCCAGAACAGGAGTAGTAAGCAGGCACACAGGTGGACAGCAGACCCAAGGAAGTGCTCAGCAGAACAGGTAACACAAGCAAGGTCCAACTCCACCAGAACAAATACTGTTTGATAATGAAGCTAAGATCCTGCATGCCGAAATAAAACTAAACACTAAAGTGGAGGAACTGTGAAAGTTGTATTTTGAAGGAAAGTGGAATATCAAATGCTGAAAAACATCTACAAAACCCTCTTTCCATCTCTTGTCAATAAAAGACACAAAACTTCAAAGCCAAAACAAGACAAAGTGAACTAAACAGGAGTGAAGAAGATATCCCCAATCACAACCATTGGAAGGCAGTAACTGATAAAAGAGTGAGACAATAAACGAAACTATTTTTATTTACTGAATTGCCACTTACTGATTTTATCCACAAGAGCTGTAACTATGGATAAAGGAGACCTTGGCTGCATTTCCTGTTTGGTGTGAGTGTAGCAAATAAGAACTGTGGAGAGACCAAAAATGGAGTCAGATCTTTACAAAAACATCAGTGGAGCAGATCAGTGTCATCTTTGCAAAGTGTAAGAGGTACCTGGAAAACACTAAATCCCCTACAACAGGAGAGAACAGCTTCCACATTTTCAAGCATGTAACACATGGGATTGCTACAAAAAAGACAGCTGCAGCTGTCTCAGTTTTATGCATATTTACTCACTACAAAGATAAATTTAGCTAAGCATTTTAAAGCAACTCATCACTTGACTTCCAATCCCATATAATCTCTCCACTCTACCTCTGCAGCTCCCTGTCTCAGACTCTTCCTATCTTCTATTTTGATTTCATGAGGGCTGTCCAAGGATACATGCTATCTGAGGACTTTTCAAATACTGATTCTTTTAAAGAGGTGGAGAGTAAATAAACTGTGCCTTACAGGCACGAAACCATAGTCAGAGGTATTTATCACACTGCAATTACTGCTAGGCAAACTACTATTTAAACTAATCAGCTTTTTCATAAGAGCACAACAGACTCCTTGGAGTAATTCAAGGCTGCAAAGATASRGTTTTATCTAGTGCTCATGTAATTYTTACTCAATKCAGATTTTCATTATAAAAAGTATCTGTCTTGCACTTAATGAGATAAGAGAGAAGGAATCCCCATATGGGCCACTCACTTCAGAGYTGGACTTGATTATCCTTGTGGGTCCCTTCAAACCCAGAATATTCTGTGATCTGGAAGATCCCTATCCTTCCAAGTAATGTAAGATTTTTTTTTCCCTGTGTTTACTGAAGTCACAATTCTAAAACTTGTTAAGCCTATCAATTTATTATATCAATATGAMCACCCTGAATATTGTTTATTTGGGACAAAAATCTTGATTATCCCAAAACAATGCATCCTCAGCRGAAGTGACTGGAGCCCATTATGACTGCAAACAAGGCAAAGACATTCTGCAYTGTCACAGGAAAAAAAAGTAAGATTTTCACAGATTTCTGGGGAAAATAAACAAGCCATAGAATGAAAAATAAGCTCATCTCATTTAACAGTGGAAGGTATCTGACAGCTTAGTCTCCTTTGCTAATTCAGGACAGGTACTGAAGCCAGCAACTTTCACCTCCCAGAAAGAAATCTAAGTCATGCAGCTATTTTGTCTATCCTTGATAGACATGCATTCACTTGTTTCTCTGCCTTCCTCAATTTTATCCATCTGGATAATCAGAAGGAACAGGAAAAAACCCTGTTCTATTCAAACTTTCCCTTAATAAGTACTTAATTCTTTGTCAAAAACCTCCATCAAAAAGCTCCCRACCAGCTATAGAACTCGGATGAAGAAAGAAGTCACATGGTGATGTTAAGATAATAGTATCTCCAAGTTCTATTAACAACCTCACACTTATAATAAAAAATTCAAAGATTTAGAATTTTTCAAGACCACAAATAAATAAAAAGGATAAAAAAATTAAGAAAGCCAACTCATTAAACAACTGAGCTGGTTTTACCCTTAACAACAATTTGCAATCCAAGAACATGCACCAAATGTTTTTAATTTGTTCTCAGTGGATACATTACATTCTTTCCAGATAATACTCTCTTCTTCCCAAAGGGAAGATTATTTGTGCCTCATTATCTGTTGGGGTTTTTGTCAGTTCTTGTTCATTTTTTTTAAGATTAAAAAAAAATATAAGTTTTATTTTTCAATATGCATACTGCAAATTTTCTCTCAGTTCACACTCAATGCAAATTCATAATCTAGGATCACTTTTCAGTAAATTATTCTTGTAGCTSGTCCTTTTAAAATCTGGCAGAGGCAGGAAGCTGAACAATTTTGCTTCCATCTGTTCTTTAACATCCTTCCTTCTCTTTCAGTACCAGTGTCTTCTTTTTTTTTCCTTCCCTTCTGAGATAGCACAATTATGGGTTTCCCTCCAAGGCCACAGTGTGTCACACCAACTAATGCTCCCTGATACTCAAATTCACTTTGTGCAGCCTTTACAAGGGCATGGGTACATACCTCCTAAACTGTCAAGATCTTCAAGTATCCTTCCAAACCTGCAACATATGGTTTTGACAATTAAATGCCTACATACATAGCAGTAACAGTTTCCTGTAGGTGTAACATGGTTGCTTTGTTACCTTACGCTGTTGTGTACATTCAGGTACTTTTCTCTTATTTCAGGCTGACTTCCCAGAGGTAGAATAACTTCCARGTAGCTATCTTTCATTTTCCTAGGAGGGAGATCTTCCTGCCGTTTTGCCAGTAAAGTATGAAGAGCTTTTCTTTCTTGCATTGCTTGCACATGATCTCTGGTAAGAAAAAAAAAACATTATTCAGAAGTACAACAGAACTGCAACCCTAGCTAAAAAATTTCACATTGATGATTATCAAACCTTAAACTAAATTGCAAAACACAGCAAGTGTGCCTTGAAAAGAAAGTGAAATGCACAAAATGAGAGATGCTAAGCAAGACTACTGCAGAAATCTTTGAAATACTTTGTGTACAAGTGGCAAGCATATACTACACAATAACAAGATAAACAAAATKTATCTAATTCGAATGCTACCAAATGGTTCCCTTTGAAAATAACAAATCAGATGTAATTTAACCTTTAAGGGTTTATGCATATTCATGTCTTCCATGGCTACAGTATCCCAACTCTTCCTACGGTGCCAATTTTAAAGGACTGACCATCAACTTACAACCTCTCCCAAGAAGAAAAGCAGATGTATAGCATTGGCTAGCACTAACAACAAGAGAACTAATCTTCTATGAATTGCCATCATCCACAGGTGAGTTCCCCCTTTGCAGCATCAGYTCTTACAGCAAGCTAGAAGACAGAGAAAACTAATCTACTTCTCWTTCTCCCTTTCTACCCAGATATCTTACAATTACACAGGAAAGTTACAGAAAGAAACAATACAGAAAAGAGAGAACCACTCCTTCAGAGCTGCTTTTCTAGCACCACGAAGTCAGAAGGCTGCAATTTTTACAATGGAGAAAGGAACAATTTCCTGTCACTTCCTTCCAATCCATGAAGTTGATTCTTTGCACAGGTATCTACAAGATGCAACAGTTTTGCCCAGCACTCTCTCCTACCTGTCCCACCAAAGTTCCTTCCCCTTAAAAGTGCAACCTGACTGAAAAAAAGCAAGTATTCCATGACATCTTTAGAATCAATACCCATCTATTAAAAACCTAAGGGTTAAACATGCACCAATTCTGGTATAAAGCCAAGCAGTATGCAAAACCATGGATCCATTGCATAGTGCAAGAGAATGCATAAAACCAAACTTAATGTTAAATTTCTGGATGTGTGCCATTCCTTCAGTTGTGCATGCTGCATTGCTAAGATCTCAGTGACACTGTGTTTAACAAAATCAATTAAAAAATAAAAAACCAAACCAAACCAAAAAAAAAAAAAAAAAAAAAAAAAAAAAAAAAAAAAAAAAAAAAAAAAGGGAAAAAAAAGGGGGCAGGGGAAAAAAAAACCCTAAGAGAAAACCTCTTCACCAAAAAGAAATTTTGTCTTAAGTTTTGACTTTGGATGAATTCTGGGTATTAGCCACATGAAATGAAGGCTTACTTAGCTTGAGTTTTATTTCAGAAAGTCACGCTTCAACATATTTGTATTATCTCTTTTCTGTTTAATAAGTTTTGGGGAAATATGAATAATCCATGATCAAAAAGAGTAAAAGTCAAGCAGCAAACTTCAGTTATTTTCAGTTTTTTGTTTGTTTTTTTTTAAGTATGAGATGTGGTTCATCTCATCTGGGCCACATGACTACCACAGAGTTCAGAGGAAAGAGAAAGGTAACAACCTCCTCCAAAGGGTTAATGTTTGAAGTTATGCCACTGCATAGAAACAGAATACATTAGATGACTAAGGAAAGATGCAATGTCCAAGAGGATGSACCTGCATGCCTTTTAAAAAAGTTTTTTCCAAGATCTTTCAGTGAAAGGCTACAAAAAAATTAATCAGAAAGTAAATCAGAAATTTGTCTACAAACATAAAGAAACCTAACAATAAAAATTTATGTATATTCTGTTTTCACCAGTTCCATCCTGGCTCCTCTGAGGTCAGTGGGAAAATTCTTCTTGACTTCAGCTTCCAAATGTGCTCTTCAATATACAGAAGTATTGAGCTCAATCCAGTAACATTTTTCAACATACAAATACTGTTACACACTGCAATACTAGTCATACAGTAACAATAAGTCATCTAAGCATTAACTTAACCTGCCTAAACATTCTGAGAAATGTTTCTACATTTCTGGAATGGCCACAACTCCATCTAGACTAYACATAACAATTAACAGATTAGTATCTTTCACTACAATTTACGTACAAAACCAGAATAAACACATAAACAAGAGATTTCTTTTTAATAAAAATTAATGCTAAATGAAACTGGCCCTTACAAGAGAAATCACAAACCAAAGTCTCCTTTTAGCAAAATTAATGACTGAAGATGCTCCTCCAACATGCATCCCTCCTCTCTCCCAATATATGTACATCAGTCCTTCCCTAGCTCCCTTTTCAGGGCCCCCATCAAGCTGTTCCCTCAGATTTGTCCTCTTCAGTCATTCTGTGGCCTCAGTTAAATCCCCAGCTGTTCAATCTCCACATGTATCATATCAACTCTTTGTCATTCCATTTTAAAAGTGGGCTCTCAAAGGCAACATGATCCATGTCCTCCAAACATTCCTGTATTAAACTTGTCATTCTCAAGCACTCCCATCTGTGSTCTCCCTGGCTTTACTTCTTCACAGTAGCTGAAGGATTCAGTACTCTGCAAACCATTTCTGCTGTATTTGGTACAATACAAGAGAAGTACAAGAATACAATACAAGAGTATCTAAGAAAAACACTGCTGTGATGATCCTGGCCTCAGTCTGCCTCTTCCTCCAGGATGGGAGCAATGGGGAGAAAAAAAAAATAGATGGAAGATCAGATTTGACCAGAGCCATGTAAAATCTCAGTTTTCAAATGGTATTTCCATATGGCGTCATTCCTCCTCAGTCATTCTGGGATGTGAGAAAGGCTTTTTCATAAAACAATTTCTAGAGCCCTTTCTAGCTGACTTGATGAAAAGCTCAAGCCCTCTCATGCTTAGATGCTACTCTTACAAGCAAAAAATCAGCTTCCCAGATTCAGGCATTTTTGTCATCATGCCTACAACAGAGTTTAGACAAACTGAGTCAGAAGGCTGGACACATCAAACATTCCACCCAGATGARCTTCTCTGCATTTCCCTATCAGTGCATAAAGTGGGAAAGAAGAGCTCAGCAAACACAGCCAAAATTATCAATAAAAATAGGACCAACCAAACTGCAAAGTGTAATTTCTCCAGACTGCTATACTGACTTGTCCAGACTGTAACAGTAGAGGGTTACAGTTAACTCTGGCTTATTCAATGTAATCGAATAAAGCCAAAATAGCAATTATTTAAAGTATATGYAAATTAATCAAAAACTAAGACAAAGGAAATGCTCAAGATGCTCCTGATTAAGGAGACTCTGATCCCAAGCTAACAATCTTCCAAAGTGGCATGGATGCCATTCAGAAAACAGTGAGYAAACTCAGCTGACTCTGAATCCAGTGCAGGATAAATCCACCATGCAGGCAATCCACCTAGAGATAACTCTAGAGGTAACAGCAACATAGATAGCACTGTCAGCCAGATTCTACAGCTCCTAACTCTCACTGAACTTAAAGCTAATGGGACAATCTTCTAAGCACCAAGATCAGGTATTTTGTTTCYGCCAGAGAAATCTCAGAAGTTTGTKATCCAYAAAGYACCAATTCAGAAGCCTTGTTTYKATTRCTTTTTAGTGGGATCTTTTTCTTCCCCAGTCAGCAAACTATTGGTARCTTCACTGTCACAACCCTGAGCTCCACTTTGGTTTCACAAATGAAGTAAAATACATGTAATGCACACTGTACCTCCAGTTGGTAGATGCTCCCACTATATCCCTCAATTTGCTCCGCACTGGAAAAAAAAAATCAAAGCAAATCAAGCTTAGTTCTGCAAATGATGAACATGAGGTTGCCTGYTGTTAAAAGGCACAATCCTCATCCCAGAACAGGAAAATTAAGCAAATTCATGCAAATAGCAGCCCAGAAATGAAACTTTGGCCAAATTCACTGCTTCTGTTAGTAGGCATATCACAGTAATGGGTTGAGTAACATGATGCCACAGCTTATTGCAGATAGTCAACAAAGTGTTTGTTAGTGAATCAGTCACCTCCAGTGCTAATTAGCAGCTGAAAGACAGCATGGATCAACACTAGATTGAGGAATTTTGATGTGAAAATATTACAGCCTAAACACAAACTTTGTACATAAACAAATGGACATAAGACTTTGGACAAATCAGAAAGTCATAAAAGAATTTAAAAGGAAACAGTGCATCTGGAAAACAGGAAATGAGGAGAACACCAATTAAATAATCCCACCCACAAAGGCAGGCAATATCAGCAACCTGGTTCTTGCTAGCAGGGTTTAATAGCCCAAATTTTCAACAGTCTGAAAGAATACTGTATTAGGACACTGTATATTCTGGCCCTGTTTGCACTCTCAGAGTTAATATTAGSTCTGCACAAGTTTTTCCTAATTTTCAAGAATAATCCACATAAGCATCTTTTCTACTCTTTCTCAGATGACATTAAGTATGCTAAGGTCCCATCAGAGCTACCAAGCTATTGCATGGATGTTAGGCAGGTGAATGTTGGCTATTTGGAAACACCAGAAAACAAGCAGCAACAATTCCCAAGCTCAGAACAGAAGTTGAGAACTGTATAGAAGGGATTCCTTGATTATTTACAAGGACTTTTCTATACAAGGAAGTTGAAATATTAGGACAAAATAGGTACACTTCAAGGAAGAACTACCTAAAAAATATCCAGAATTACATGGTCAAATTGAAAGAGGCTGCTGGTGAGCCAGTACATGGATCCAGTGACTCACCAACAGCCAGCAAACACCATGGCCCAGGGCTGACCCCAGCATTAGCTCTGGCACCCTAACAAACCTCTAATTTGAAAGCAAATTTTCACAAACACAAAGTTTGGGGAAATATGTTTCTCTTTGAGACTAAAGGCTCATCTGTTTTGGCTGACATCAAACAACAAAAGGTTCTGGAAGAAGAGAAGTATAAGAAGATAGCCAGACAAAGACAAAATAAAATAGATTGCTTAGGCCTCATTTCTTAGCAAAATTAGGTTAAAAACATGTTTTGAAATTAGGAGACTTCTACTATTAATTCTAAGAACAAAAAAAATTTCAATGAAAGAACCTGATTGCAAATCTTGAGAGTTGATTTCTTTTGGAAACAGGGAAGGTYTCATTCTTTTTTCCTTAAGCAACAGCAGGTTTGCTAACAGAACAGCAGGTATTACTTTCTTGTTACTCATATTCCACCTGTGAAGCTGCCATAGAATGCAGAGCAATACAATGTTAACAGAAACACTGTTACTGCTTCTAGAAAACCTCAATTTTTCACAGTGTGCAGACTGTGCTGGGATGAAGGGGGAACAAACAGCACTTTCTCTTTGTTTAAACTAAGTTTTCAACTCTAAAGACATAAAAAGCTCTGAAAAAAAATCTCAGGTCCAGACCTGCAAAAATGTATRTAACATTTAACACATCTGATTTCAATTTCAGGTACAAAAATGAATATTTTCCAGGCTGAGAACACAGAAAATTTTTATCTTAACAATAAAAGGGACAAAGTGYAAAGTGTTTCTAAAATGTTGTCAAGCAAAATCTAGTTCATCTTATGACTCATAAGTACATAGTTCTTCCCTTTTTCTTTTTTTTTTTTTTCCTCCCTGGGAAATCTATATTGCTCTTCTAGATATTAGTTATCTCACAATAGAAATTTAAGTTAATAAGCACAAAAATSTATTAGCTACTACTCTTTTCTTATTTGGCAAATACCTTAAGTGTGCAAAAGAGTTACAGCAAATGGGACTCAGGTGAAAGATGCAGATTCAAATGTCTAAAAGTAAGCCAMGTGCTGCAGGAGCTGCTGCTGTGAGAGATTTTTTATCCCAAAAGCCTCTTAGAAACATATTATCCAGCACTGCAGACAAACAGGGTGCTGACAGAGATCTAGTRCAACAACACTGCCAAAAGTAAGACTAGGGCCATTCACCAAAGGTAAAGGGGCATTAAGCAAGTTGACAGAGAAGAATAATGGCACTCCATTTTTCATGAAAGCTAAAGTAAGGAAAAATAGTAGCTGAGTAAGTTTAGTGTTACAGCAAGTATTTTAATATATACAAATTACCACAACACACCATTATTCACATGAATGGGTGACTGTCCTGTGGAGTACAAAACACAGGTTAGATTAACAATGAAAAGAAACAATTTACATTTAATAATGAGTTACTTGATTATTCTACCTGCTTCACTTCCATTTAGGCACATGTTGYTTAATTTTGGTAACTGCAGGCAATCCATGCTTGCCTGATTTACAGTCAATGTCGTTTCATTTTCAACTCAGTTTGTCCCTTCCTTTCAAACCAGCTTTCCAGTTCCTTGTCTACTGACTCTGTGTGGTATCTTCTTGCAGYGCAATCCCAAACACTTTTTCAGACTTGGGGCTACCATGTACTGTTGACAAACACTATTGACTTTGGAAAGACTATATGGAGCATTTTCCAGAAAGTCAGATGAGAGTTTTTTCACAAGGAAAAATCCCAAGTCCTGTTTTGTGTAGCCTTTGGGAGAACCATGGAAGAAGTGAGGGCATTCACAACYGTAACCCAAAGCTGGGACAAAGCATGTGAAAAGCTAATAAGGGAAAGCATTTGGTGTTTTGTAAAAGTATGGATACCAAACTGAAAGAATGTAGTTTATATATCAGCAAAACTTTGAATTTGAACGATTTTGAAAAAGAATCTCAAATGTTTACAGTTACTGTAGTCTACAAAAATATTATTATCCTTTGRAATACCAGGATGACCTCACTGCCTCACTATTCTTACTGGGTTTCTAGATGGCATCATAACCAAATACCCAAATAAACAAGCAGGGCAAGTTGCAAGTATGCAACTTTCTATATCCTTCTTTCTCTCCTTCAACCACCTAAATTATCATTTATTAACAACAATGAAAATAAGTTCTCTAACAACAAATAACCCTMATTTTCTCTTTTATTGGATAACCAGTAACTAGTGTTTAGAGAACAAAAGAAAAAAATCTCAGAAACAAGCACAACTCCATGAAGAAATTATTTGTATCTGGCTCCAGTCTTTTTCCTCCTGCCCTTTGCTCAGTACAAGGGATTAGAATGCAAGAAAACCTTTTCAAAATCATCTGAAATAGTAATATTACAGTTTATTACTATTTCAGCACTGAAACAATCTTTCAAYACAAAGCTCTATTGACAAGAGCAATTTCACGAGGCAACGCTGCCGATCCGATTAAAAGATTTCTACAAGTTCACAAAATTAACAGGACTGACACATTCAAAGTTCTGYAACACATTATTTCCACCCACATTGGCCATTCTCTCCAGTTTCATTGTACCTGTCTGCACTACACTGACTTTCTCTAAAGAGCCAAGCTGAACAGGAGTTATCCTGCCAGAAAAGCACCAAGCTCTTCCAATGCTGAAGAACCAGAGGAGCCCCAAAATCTGCAGTTTCAATGATTACACATATTTGTGCCATTCACCTCCAAACACACAGAGATTTTCTGCTGCTTCCTAAACACTTCTACCATGAGCAGTCATGCTCATTATCAAACCATACTAATACATGAAGGGACACCACCTGAAAGAATAAACTCCTTAATAACATCATTTAATTTTCTGGAGCRCAGCCATTTACTTTACCTTCAGACATGTCAGGAAGCCCTGGGGAGCCACTGGTCCCAGAAGTGAGTGTCCTAGMCAGAACAGAAGGAAGCCTCCTCATGATGCACAACCTATAAGCAGAGTAGAAAAATTTGGTGTCATTAAAAATACTCTCATGAAAATAATTTAGGATTTAATTTTGGATTTGTGCTCATGACTTCAGAAACACCAGTCCTTATTTTCAGCTTGATTTTTTAGAACTAGATACAATCAGTACAGCAGTTCCAAGACAGAAATTCCAGGTGACACCTATCCTTATCTAAAAACAGGTAAGAAGCATGTTTCACGGGCAGCAATTGGCCTCTTCACTGTCTATTTAGATGCTCTGAGACAACCAATTTAGACCCAACACCAACTTCTACCCTGCAGCATCTCAGCACARATGGGRTCYATGTGCATCTAGGAAATCATCCACRGCCCTAATCATACMCTTCTCCTGCACTTGGCTGGTGTGCATAGCAGTGGAAGGAAGAATATCCCAAGAACCAGTTCACAGGGTCTCACAAGCAGTCCCATTCAGCTAAGCCTGGTCTTCTCCTCCATGATTTTGTTCTGCAGCAACTCAAAAAAATCTGAAGTGCAAGGTATAATCCTCTTAGCCATTAAGCAAGAAGGGACAACCATTAAACCCTTCAGAGAATGTAATCCACCCCCAATTCACGAAGCTACCAGGCAGTAGCCAGTGCTACTCTTCCCAGCATGTGTGTGGTAACACAGAAACACACAGAGGGTACGCAAAACCCCTTGTAATAGCTCACAATATCAYCCTGACAAGGAATATGGATTGCTGGTCCCTTAATTTTCTTCTTCTGGGTCTGGGGTTTCACCTCAAAAAAAGAAAAGGTGCAGGTCCTCAGGCATCAACAGAAAAACAGGGCAATTTACACATCTCTCTTCTTCCCCCTTCATGTATCTCTTTGAATACATATCATGTACATACAAGCTTTCTCAGACTGCAATTTACACATATCTCTCCTTCCCCCTTCATGTA